GAGAAGCTCTGCTACGTCGCCCTGGACTTCGAGCAGGAAATGGCCACCGCCGCCGCCTCCACCTCCCTCGAGAAGTCCTACGAGCTTCCCGACGGTCAGGTCATCACCATCGGTAACGAGAGGTTCCGCGCTCCCGAGTCCCTGTTCCAGCCTTCATTTGTGGGCATGGAATCTTGCGGTATCCACGAGACCGTCTACAACTCCATCATGAAGTGCGACGTCGACATCCGTAAGGACCTGTACGCCAACAATGTCCTGTCCGGTGGTACCACCATGTACCCCGGTATCGCCGACAGGATGCAGAAGGAGATCACCGCCCTCGCTCCCTCCACCATCAAGATCAAGATCATCGCTCCCCCTGAAAGGAAGTACTCCGTATGGATCGGTGGTTCCATCCTGGCCTCCCTGTCCACCTTCCAGTCCATGTGGATCTCCAAGGACGAGTACGACGAGTCCGGCCCCGGCATCGTCCACCGCAAGTGCTTCTAAAAACTTTTAATTTTGCGCTTTAGGTGAAGCGCTATACATCACCTCATTCCAAAGACTGATAAATTATTACACTTTGTCTACTTTGTATTAACGAACCAATTGTATTCTTTGACTGCTCAGGTATTTTTTGTTGTTGTTAATTTAATGTTTTTTTTTGTGATGACATGCATGCTTGTTTCCAGATAGAACCATATAATTTTTATGAGAATGAATGCATTTTGAACTTTTCCAGAAGCATGTTTTAGACCATTCATTTAAAGTCACTCACTCGTTTCATGCTACCTATGTATGTCTTTCTGATTCCCTCGAATGTCCTTTGAAATGTACATTGCAGACAAATTTCAAAACCTGAAGCTCATAATTAGCAGGTGAGTCCGCAGCTTTTTTACTAGTTCAGGCTAACGCGATTGCTTTTGGTTCACAAATGTGCCAGTTGGTTGAATTGCCGTTGACGCATTCAGAGGAATGCTGTCCTGCGTGCACGCGTTCCGGCGGGTTTGCCTATCGTCCGAGTAGGCAACCCACTCGCGGGCGTGCATGC